TTTGAGGGTGCAGAGCGGGGAAGGAGGGAAAACGGGTCTGGGGGAAATAGAACATATAACCAGCCAGACAGATCTGGAACACACAAAATTCTCTTTTGTGGCTGCCATAAGTCAACCTGAGCCTTGAGGAAACAAATTTCTGACTCAGATGAGGTAATCTGTCCAACTGTTTTGAAAGCTCCATACTTGAGTGCTATCATCATACGCTGTACTCCTAGATAGGCCATAAACCCCAAATACGCTGTCATTACTTTTACTATAAACTACCTTTCTAAAAGATTTAGAAATGAGAAAAATTTTTTGTATTTGCTGCAATGTTCACCTTTTGGGGGACTCTCCATCCCTGTGTGTGCATCCAAATCCCACTTAGTTTTACTTTCCTGCTGCCCGAGGAACCTCCTTCACTGCTTCCTGCAGGCAGTTTCTGCAGGTGATGAATTCGCTTCGCTTCTGTTTGTCTGACAGGTTTTATTTTCCTTTCAACTTTGAAAAATGCTTTTGCTGGGAATAGGATTAAAGTTGCAGGGCTCCCCCCCCAAGCCCCCGCTTTTTCTTTTAGTAAAGATGTCACTCCATTATCTTCTAGTTTGAATATTTCCTGACAAAAAGTGTTCTGTAGTTTTTTGTTCTTCTATGTATATTTTATTTTTCTGTCTAGGTGCTCTGAGATTTTTCTCTTTTATCACTGGTGCTCAGAGGATGGACTGTGATGTCCTTGGGGTGGTTTTATTTCTTCGGTTTGGGGTTGAGCACCATGAATTGGTGGAGTTACAGTTTTCATCACATTTGGGAATCTTTCATTCATTATTTACTCAAATATTTTCCTGTTCCGTTCTCTCTCCTCTCTCCCGGGACTCCCAATTGCCCAGTTATATGTATACTGCACTACTCGAATGGATTCTTTGTTCCTTTTTTTCTCAGTGTAAGCATCATGTGGGTAATTCCTATTCTTCCAGTTCACTGATCTTTCCTTCTCCTATCTAATCTGCTCCTAATTCATTATGTGTATGTATGTGTGTGTGTGTGTGTGTGTGTATAGTGAATATGTATATATTCTCAATTCAATGAACAGACATATACATATATACATATTGCTGGGCAATATAGTGAATTAAGAACAGATTATTCACAGAAGATCAATATATATCGTACACGTGTGCATGCACACACACACACAGGTATCCCCCATTTTTTGAAAGTTCACTTTATGTCACTTCATTTTTACAAACGACCTACATTAGTACCCGTTTTTGTTAACTGAAAGAAATCTGAAGAGGATTTTTGCTTTTATGAAAAAAAGTGAAAAGCAAAACTATGTTCAGCATTTGTTTAGCAGAGAGCTGTTACAGAGGCAGTGTGCTCCTTGAGCAGCAGTGAGTGGATTCACCAAGCTCCTTTCAGGGGAACTACACTCAGTTTCTCAGCATCAGGCTACCATAGCTTTCAGCCATGTCTGTGAACACATTTGGTGTTACTTCAGGCTTTATGTGTTCTTTGGTACAATTTAGGTTAATTTTGAGGTGTGGGAACACTAAAGCATTTTCCCTGTATAAATTAATGGTAATTGCTTCTTGGCTTTATGCCATTTCGGCTTATGAAATGTTACATAGGAACACTCTACTTTCAGATAGTGGGGAAAACCTGTATATATATATACATATATATATATAGAGAGAGAGGCATATACGCATATGTGCAGGTATATATAGGAGGTATGCTGGTGCAGGTGCAGGGGAAAAATTAAGCAATTTGCTTCTGTAACACTTTATAGCCTTGGAGTAGTTCTTCCCTATCTTACAGGGTCACTACAAGTGGGAATCGACTTAACAAAAGTGAGTTTGGTTTTTGTAAGTATATGCATACATATAAGGAGCTCTGGTGGCATACTGGATAGAACATTTGGCTGCCAACCAGAAGGTCCCAGAAGGAAGATAGGGTGATCTACTTCTGTAAGGATTTATAGCCTCAGAAATCCAGCGGGGGTCACTGTGAGTCAGAATCAACTAGATGGCAATGAATTTGGTTTTGGTTATGCATACATATATGTGTATATGTAAGATCATATATATACACACATATGCATATGTATATACATGATCATACATACACACATGTAAGGAAGACTGGGCAATCTACTTCTGTAGTGATACCACCTTGAAAACCCAAGGAGAGGTTGCTGTGAGTCGTATCCAACTCAATGGCAGTGAGTTTTTTGTTTTTTGTTTTTTTTAGTAGTATATATATGTATAAAACCAAACTCACTGTGGTCGAGTTGATTCCAGCTAATAGCGACCCCCATTGAGTTTCCAAGGCTGTAAATCTTTATGGAAGCAGACTGCCTAATCTTTCTTTTTGCAGAGCAGCTGGTGGATTCGAACCACCAACCTTTTGGTTAGCAGTCAAATGCCTTAACCACCACACCATCAGATACATACACATATGTTTATATATATATATATTTCATATCAGATATTGTTGCTTTCATCCCCAAAAATTCAAGCTGGACCCTTATATCTTCTACCTCAGGTTTCATCTAGTTCATGTTTTCTGCTACTTTATATAAAATAGCTAATAGCTATTTGCGGTGTAGTAAATTACTTAGTGTGGCTTTTCTACCCATAAGTCTTTGTAAACTCCAAGGTGGGAATTGCTATTAGCAACTGAGGAGATCCTGACTTTAAAGTCCACCCACCTGAGTTATTTCTGTTGGGC